TTCCGTGTGTTTTGAAGGTAGTGATCACATAATTAATGGCCGAGTTTGTGATCACACTTCTCATTCGAGTTTGTGATCATCAAGTAAAGGAGGGCGCCGCATTTATAACGAGGGCATAATACACGTCAGGAAGTGGCAAATATATAACGGTCAATGCTGTATGAACCCGACCAAAGTCCATGGTTATCGGCACGCGGAAAATGGACGGAACATGGATTGGCTCCAGACCGGTCCTGCATGCATGGCGAGACTAGCTGACATCCATCAGATGAAGATTTTGTCCGCTGCGACAATGTCAACCGTGTCCAGGAGGAGCTTAACTAGCCAGGTCCGATCGCACATGCATGTTAGTGCTAGTCTATTCTGTTAGGTCAACTAAGCAAGAAGCTAAGCTTTGGGTAATTGGGTTCAGATGGACCTCCGCGTTCTGACCAGCTGCCTTATGACATCACAGATGAGCATGAAGCAGATTTGGGGTCCAGCTCAACAATGGCAATGCGCGCATGTTAAACCCCAGCCTGCTTGCTTCCGTGCGGCCTATCTGGAACGGTGACTCGTCGGTCCGATCGGGTTTTGGAGGCGGAGGAGGCGTCACGGGAGAGAGATGACACGGCTGAGGATGAGGATGTTGGAACTCGATTTGCAATCTATCAACCCTGTGTTACACTAACACGCTTCGTATTTTTCTTTATGTCAATGATGATGATGACCAGTGAAGCGAGAAATATGAGGATGGATTTCTTTTTCCCCAAAAATAGGATCTATTATAAAAGTTCATCAAATATAAAGCACCTCATACATATTAAAAATCACATCGAGGTTCATACACCATTGAATGATCACTACCGACGCCAGAACAAGTCGCCGACGCGTCGAAGGCGTTGTTCCCCTAGCGGAACAGGGTTGACCTTATCGATGATAGTTAGAAAAGTCTTCGTTCACGTACATGCCCTAAGGACCAACACTTAAAACCACAATTGTCCTCGCTGAACCTTGAATAGATATGAAGCATCTTTTTTAATAAAGGGTGGATTTTATTGGCTCAAAATGAAACATCAAAAAGATACAAACACAATGAGCACACACCCAAAAGCTAAGGTTTTCTGCCTCCCGCTGGCGCCGGCGCAGGTCTGTCCCGTCTCCGGTGGGAGGGCTCCGTTTTTAGTTCTTATTTCGAGCTTTGTTAGGATTTGTGTCCTGCTCAGGAAGGCAAGACGACGGCGGCCCTCTAAAGATGGAATAAAGGTCACCCCACCTAGCCCCCGTCCCGGTGATGCGTCTAGCATCATCGGTGGGCGTGTGGAGGTGTGTCTCTGGTGGATCTGTCTTTGTTGGATTTGCTCGGATTTGTTTGTCGTTCACCTTCGTTCATGTGTCTTCAGGTTGGATCCTTTTGATCTACAGTCTTCATCCGTGACGGTTGTTATTCTGGTGCATTGGTTCTATGGGGCCTTAGCACGACAATTTCCCGGCTGTCTACGACAACAAGGTTTGCCCTGATCCAGCGAGGGAGCGGCGCGCCTTCGACTCGCTTCAGTGCTTGTAGTCGTCGCTAGGTGGTCTACGGATCTGGATGTAATTTTTATTATTTCTAGCGTTCGTTGTACTACCATGATTGAAGATGAATAGATTGGAAATTTTTTCCGTAAAAAAAAGAGCACACATCCGACCTCTGCATAATTAGGATGCACACAACCAACCCCAACACACACACACATAAAAACATACTGGCAAATATCAAATTCATATGCGATCGAAGCAATGCCCAAGCGAGGAAAAAACCTGAAGCTATCAAATCTGCGATCGACAATCTACAACTATGGCCATATCCGCACCAATTATCTCATGACATCACAAGGAGAACAAGGTTCTTCAACAGCAACGCCCTCACGAAGGGAGCGACGCTCAAACACCGTCGCCACTAGATCCAACCACCAAGGTCAAATTCAAGGCTTTCACCGTGAAGAACCAATTCGAGCATATCCGAGCAGTGTCTTCAACAAGGTAACGATGCAAAAACATCGCAATTGTCGGTTATAGCCAACTTGGTTCAAACGTAGGTTTTCACCTAACATAAAGTCTAGCTATTGCGCCCATACGACGACAAGAAATCCTAACCTCGCCACCGCAAAGAGAAGACAAGAATCTATGTTGGAGCTCTGTCGACAACAGTCGGATGGACGAACTCGAGGAGAGGCAGCGACCGGAAGAAAAACTTGAAGGGAAAAAAGTGTTGCCAACCGCCCGAGCACCACACCTGCGAGGACAAAAAAAATGTAACATAAACTACTAAACAGACCAGCAGGCGGAGGGGAGCGGGACGAGTTTGCCCTAGCCATGAAAGCAAAGGGGAAAAAATGCTTCGCATTCTTTTCCCGGTGATGAGGACGGATATGTTTGGCAACCAATCAAAGTAAGTCAAATTGAGCACAATGAAATAAAGAATAACAACAAAGATTCTTATTGAAACCAGAACTTATGTCAATAATCTCTAAAAAAGGATTACAACAAGAAGGCATTTGTGAACTTTTGGTATGTTCTTATCTAAACATGTCGTAGCATACTATCCGGACTACATCAAGCGGTTCACTCGAGTAAAGAACTTGCTCGTTGAGTTGCATGAACCAAAGGTCATCTATGTGTTCTCCACCGGTCTCCACTTCCTTGGGATGACCCACAGGATCGGATGCAAGTTTCCCAGTAGGGCCCGAGAGGTTTTTGACTTGGCAAACAAGTATGCCACCGGGAAACAAACGGTCCTCGGTGAACAAAGGTTTGGCAAGGCCAAAAGTGGGACGACCAAAAACCCTCCCAAAGCCAAGATCCTCCCCGGGTTAATGCTGAGGATTGCCCCGCGAAAGCGCGAGGGGCCAGACGTGGAGCAGTTGATTGTTGTCGTGGAGCGTGTCCCAGTGATAATCCCCAAATGCAGAGAGCTGCTGTAGCACTCTCCAATGTGGATGTGGAACTATGTGAGTGTCAATACCTGTTGGAGCTAAAGGTAGGTTTTCTACTGTCTCAAGTGTGTATGCTTTACCTAGACTCTCTAAAACTAATTTATAAGCGTTTCAAGGAGATAAATAAATTACTTGGCAAGAGAAAGACAATTTTAGGTGCATTTAATAAATGATTACAAGAACAAATAGAGAGCATGAGTGTGTGATGGTTGTGATGAATGTAGCGTTATCCAATGGGAGCAAGTATTCTTGAGAATTGGCTTTTGTTTCTATATTCATGGTTGATTTTCTTATTTTGGGAACAAGTCTAATAGTGCAAATATGCGTCTTTGTGCCCACCTAGAAAATTACCCTTCATTGTAATGTGAAAGTTATCTCACAACTTAAGCGAGTACCTAAGGGGGAGAAGACGAAGGAGATTGAGGCGGTGCAGGGCTTCACCTAAGGGGGAGAAGACGAAGGAGATTGAGGCGGTGCAGGGCTTCACCTAAGGCGGAGAAGACGGAGGCCATGTTGTCGGTTTGAGCAGCCCAACTCAATTAGTTCTGTATGGTTGCTCCAGACTTCGAGGTATGGCTGTCAAGCATGGTAATTTGAATCAGGAATGAGGTTGGCCACGTGTTCCTTTGAAAAGATGACGGAGGACATGCTCTTGGCACCGCGATGGCAAAGGAGTAGGAGCACAAGGGAGGCAAAGATATCATGGGTGAAATGGAGGGAGGTTGACCGACGTAGTTGAATTGGGCGCGCGACGCACGGCTCTGGTGGCTCTCGGTGACGATTGTTCAGGGCTCCGAAGGATGTTGATCGAGGTGGTCAAATTGCGGCGTGCGTTGCACGGCTCTGGTGGCTCTTGATGATGATTTTGCACGGCTCCGGAGGAGGTTGACCGACGTTGAGGAGGGTGAAGAGGAGGAGGTTGACCAAGGTGGCACCCGTGGCCACCTGAGAGACTCACTAGAGGGGCTCGCCGGAGGTCCATGGCATCAAGGTTGCCCATGGCGTCGGGACTAAGATAGGGTGAGATGGAGAGGTGATTTTTTTCGTTTTGTGGTGTGGGACCCACATGTAAGCGAGAGAGAAGGGCCATGTTCATTACGTTATGTTTTTCTGATGGGTCCCATGTGTAATGGAGAGATATGGGTCATGTTTAATTTGTTTTGTTTTCTCCCGACGGGTCCCACATGTGAGGGACATTGTGCCCGTGCCAGCTTCGAAGGTCATTTTAGGCCAAATACCTTTGACCGAACGACACGGTGACAGAAGGCATTCGGGCAACCTATTAGACAAATATAAGGGCAAAACTAAGTAGAGTGAAAAAGTAAGAGCAAACCTTATAGGTAAGTTCTCATTAAGGGCAAAAATGCGATTGTCCCTCAAAATTTTAAAATAGGAACAATCTCATATGCCATCACCTTTTGTCTGCTAGTAAATGCACCCATACGACTAGAGGGATACGTGCACTAGGGAGAAGAGGGTTTTTCTAATACATGCATGTGTATAATTAGAGATGATGAATTGATGATTGAGTCATTTGATAACCTCCCTAAAAATAGAACATTTAGCAGTGGGTGTACTCCAAGTTTTAATTGAAACTTAGCAATAATGATTTCCATGATATATTTATATTTACTAGATTTTGCTATTTCTCAGGTGTCTAAAAAAATTTCATGCGTTAGTCATTTTTTGCACCATGATGGAGCTCGTCGGAGATCGCCGGAAATCTATATTAGGTTGAAGTCATGGACACATCTCTACTCCTATAAAATTCTGAGTTGGTGATGATGGTGCGTCTGCCATCTATAATTTTCGACCTTCGGATCTGTATCCGACGCATGGGAGGCAGCCCCACTTCACATTTGCAAAAAAAACCTTGTCCTCTATGTCCTGCTCCATCGATCCCCACCTCACCCAGGAAACTAGAGGCATTCGATCCTTCTCGAAGATGGGAGAACACAGTGGAACTGGCCAACTGCCGCTGTCGGTCACACGCCGCCGGCGCCGGCCGCTACCAATTCCTCTTCGGCAGCAGCCCCACCACTCATGCCACCTCCAACTCCTCCTTCCCCCTCCTGCCTGTTATCTCTTCTTCCCCCTACCCTGTCTCGTTCAATGCCGATGTCGGCATGTACGCCGCCGGCGCCGTCTGTCCCCGAGGTCGGCGACACCTCTTCTGTCTCCATCTTTGATGCAGAAGCCCCTCCGCCCGCCATCTCCCCCTACCGCATCTCATCCGGCGCCGACACCGGCAAGTACGTCACCGGCATCGTCCGCCCCCTGATTCAGCAATGGCTCTCATGCAGCAGCGCTGGCGCCCACCAGCTTCACCTCCTTCCCATGGATGCGCTCCACGTCCGTCTAATTCGAGTATGAGCTGCTCCCCAGGACCTCTATGCCGTTTGCAACTGGAGCACTACCCACGAGCTCAACTGTCCCAAATAAGCAAAAGGAAGACCACTCCAACTCCATTACAAAATTTACAAAGAAATGGTCTACAAAAAAGTTCTCAGTGTGCAGTCCAAGGTATGAATCAAGTACATTTTGGTGGCTGTAAAAATTCAATATATCTAACTAGGGTAAGTCATGTAAAATTGCTTCTCATGTATGGTTCTGAAGTTTGTGCAGAAGGCTTTCAGGGAAATAACTTAGATACTTACTTTAGTGTTTATGATATTTTTGTAAAGAAAATGTATATGTGTTTTTGAATTATTTTTTGGTAATTCTCTTTCTTACTCCCTCTACTAATTTTTTTTGGATGACACCTATAACAGGTCTCTTTGTCATCGACGCCTCTCCTTTGTTTGGTAGCTCCAAATCCAAATTTCAGGTCAGACCCCAAATAGTTATTTCCTTGTTGTGTGTGATCGACATCTTTTTCTGGCAGAAACCTGGTTGATGTTAGAAAGTTACAAGAGGTCCAGTACAATTTTTATGTGCGTGTATGTACATTCTGTTGCTTTGCTTGGTACAAAATATATTGCAAGGGATGTTCTTTTTTGCTTCGTTTAAATATACTACATACCCTCTACAGACTCAGCTTATTTTCCTTTTTCTGGATATAACACAGACGATTTGTATGCAGTAGTTGTTGGAATTCAGTAATGTTCAAGCTTGTTCCAGTGTTAGTTTTCTTCAGGCTTTCAGTGTTCCTTTTTCTGAAGAAAGTTACAAAGGAACTTCTTGTAAATTTTGGTTGTTATTCGTTGAGATTGTATCCTCTGTTTTTGTTGGCTAGCTGGACAGGTATATCTTCTGCGATTGTTCTGATGGGATGCCTCTCAACATGATCCTCTATTCATTTTTTGTTATGGCTTTGGTTGTTTGAATCGCTTTGCTTTCAGCTGTACGTGCTACATAAGGACTCAAATATGTCCTAATATTTTGGCCAACGAATTGAGCTTGATAGCTTTGAAACTTGCTGGCCAAGAGATAAGATCTTCTTGTTAAGTGTTAAGGATGAGTCTATATACAAAGCCATGTATGGTAGGTCCTCTGCATCAATCTCATCTGGTGTTCCTCCACATACATCTGAACCTTGGCATAGAGAGAGCTACGTTGGTGAGAACCTGCCGGTTCATCTCCTCTTGAGTGCACAACAGGAGATACGAGATCATTGTATCTTGGATGAGAGCCGCCGTTTAACTCGTGAACCACGGCGAGGGCGTGAATCTCCTTGAAGATAGCGCCTACCAGTGTGCATTGATCCAGTCGAGCTGCTGCACCACGATCTGCTGCGACCACATCTTCACCAGCATACGACATCGTCGACGCCAACAATAGTGGTTGTCTAATGTCTTTTTAGGTGAGCAGATAAATGAAGAGAAAACCCCATAAGTAATATTGTTGGCATATATGTTTGAGCAAGAAGGGTAACAAATGATTCTATGGCCTGATCCTGATAGATGACTAATGTATATAACTAATTAAGTGGAACTAGCTGCGTGAGTTATGTCTAGAATATTTCTTTTCTTCATCGTAGTGTTGTAGGCAGATTCATTTTTCTCGTGCATATTTAGCAAATCATTCTGTTAAACACTTCTACTTCATTCTTGTTTTTCCTGGAACCATTCATAATTGTGTTTTCATACTATAGTATGTATGTTATTTAGATATATTAGTTTCTGCCATTTATCTTCACAACTAGCCGAGATCAGGGTTTTCACCCGGATCTGCTATAAGAACCTCCATCAAAAACCGTGCACATGGGCCACCACCAATCATTGTTGGGGGCTGGACGGTGAGGATCCAGTCGGCCGCCGCCTGGCTCGCTGCCGACACCACCACGGTGCCTAGCAATCGGCAGCCCACCGCACTTGCCTATAGTCGCGCCGCCGAACCACCAGCCCGCCCAAGCCCATGTGGGCCACGCGAGACCCAAGCTCTCGGCCACCACAACAGGGGCGCCTCCGCCGCGGGGAGGCTGTGCCTCCACTGTCACCGTTGGATCGCACTCGTCGTCGGGATCCTGCCGCTCCTCCCCGCCGAATCTTCATCAGTCCACGCGTCACCGCCACCAGGGAGCTCGCCATCACCACACGAGGGAGAAGGCCCCTGCTATTGCCGTCACCGCCCGGGCTTTGCCCGACAAGACCCCTAGCGTCGGCGGGAGGGACGGGACGAGGGGTGGTAGGGCCGGAGGCAGGCGGCGTGGTCGCCCCCCGTGTCGCCTAGGGTTGTGCTTGATGTGTATCTATCGGAAAGTTAACATCACTTTGATCAATGTAAAGGCAGTGTCTTGGTATAATTTTATTATTCATAAGATCATACAGGTTCCTTAATATGTCTCGGTATATATACTTCTTTATTACCATAGCAACATACAGGTTCATGACCATGTCTCGGTATATATTCTTTTTATGTAGGGGTTCCTGACTATAACTTAAGTCCACCTAATCTTGTGTGATCCCGTAGCGTAGAACGGGCATCTTACTAGTTATCTAGTACTCCCTTCGTTCTGAATTACTTGTCACAGATATGGATGTATCTAGATGTATTTTAGTTCTAGATACATCCATTTCTGCAACGAGTAATCTGGAACGAAGGAAGTATATTATTAGAGGGTGGGGGTGCAGGGGATCTACGGAGTTGGTTTTTGATGTGGCGGGGATGTCGGGGCGACAGCCCAGAAGTCGTGGGGAGGGC